ATATATATATATATAATACACACATATATACATGTATATAAATTTATCAATATAGATCTCTTTATTTCTTATTAATCTAAATATAGAACGTTATAGCACATGCTAGATCGAAGGTTTAGCGTTTTCTCCTCAGAGTTATAAAGCGTCACAAACATACAACACACACGCGCGCCTACATTATACAAGCATACACACGCGCTCTATACACACGTACACACACATACACTATCTCCTTATTTCACGCGACGCGATCCGATATCTAATGCCGATTAGCAAATACGATAGAATCCTTAGGTTGCAGATTATGCCATTGTCTCGAATTCCCCGCGAATCAGTTACCAACATGCGAATCGCTCGCATTGCCGGTCGATCCTGGTCTCGCGGTCCTAGCCTCCCACGAATCTGTCGATCGATCTAACACATCCCGGTTTGTGGTTATCAGCGCGAATTCGCGCGCGGACTATTCTCGGTGACGACGACAACGACGACGACGACGACGACGACGACGATAATGGATTACTTACTCGACTGCGCTGCGTCCGTGAATCTGATTAAACGCCTCGTTTCCGCCGAATATCTCGATAACACATAAATGACGCGCTCTCGACGAGAAACGGCGATCCCGACGACGCTGTTCAACAATTCTTCTCCGTTTCTCTCGCTTGCGTTCGTGCGGGAGCCACCGTACAACCGCTCGATCAACCACGAACCTGCGTTATACTAGATGGTAACTCGACTCGAATGATTTTTATACACGGAGAATTACGTCCGATTACACTAATGCACGGATCATTAAGGGTGCTTTCCATTTAGTGTCACAAGTCGACACAAGTATCGTTCTATCTTTCTTGGCTTTCAATGATTAACAAGGACAAAATGATATGGATAAGGACAATATTTGTGTCGACTTGTGTCACTAAATGGAAAGCACCCTGAGACTCGGACTATTCTACGCTATAAAATAAATTTATTCCACCGACAAGATATTGTGTGTAATAAATAACTCAATCTTGTACAAAATCGCGTAGCTGTTAAAATTTAGACAGTTAACTCATTATATTTTTATTATTTTATATAAACTTAACTTACAAATAAAATATTAAATTTATTTGATAATCCATACTATAATTGTTTTGTTATTTAGGATATTTTTATTTTAAAAAATTACAACATTCTAATTTAATATAAATAATTTTTAAGTTATATAAGCGTATTCTTGAATCCATCTTGGATTGTGAATGCAATATAGATATGCATTTGAATGCGATTTTATTGGATATAGTCACCGACGAGGTACTGTTAAGCCTGAGACACAATGAAAAGGTACAGGTAGAGAGGAAACCTGAGGATACCAACCTATGCCTTGGCCTGCGCTCAAAGGAGATTTGGTTAATGAGCTACACTGTATACAATCTTTGATAAATTAAATATAAAGTTAAATAATAAAATAAATTATAAGATATTAAGCTTTTTTTATTGACAGATTGATAAATATCTGTTTTAACAAATTTCTTAGTTGCTTCTTCGCAATATCAAAAGTATGTTTTTATACACAATCTACCCGAGCCATGTCGGATGCCTTTGAAGAAATACAAGCGATCAAAATAAAGAGGAACAGTTATCGCGAGAAATTACAGAAGAGGAAACGCGAGAGACATGAACTGTACACGCTTACTTCCACGCCGGTTTCGTCCTCCCTGACAGCGGAATCAGCATGTCCCGGTAATGGATAACATTAACACTAGAAAGAATTCTCGAAAGAGTTCTCGATTTTTAATGTACGAATTTATTACAGATTCCAATGCGTCTTCACGCTCAGATCACAGCGAATATGAAAGGGATGTACTTTGTATTTTACATGAATCCCTCCCTAATCTACCAATAACATCCGCAGACTTGATAGACCAGCTACGTAAGAATCTCAATGCCGATGTATCTTCTTCGGACATTCACAAGATTTTAGAGAAGCTGGCTGCGCAAGATATAGTTAAGTTAGTGAGAATTGTTTTATTTTATGATAATGTTTTGTTAGTGTATGATACATTCAATATAAAAAATAAATCTCCTTTATTTTTAGGATCAAAGAAGTCACGGAAAATGGAGTATTTGGATATACAGTGTTGTCGGTAACGGAATCCCAATCGTCATGTCAATTTCAATCTGGTGATACTGAGAATATCGAAAGCGTAGAAATGTCCGAGTTAAATGATCATGTGCCTCCAGAGAAACAGGCTAAGATGGATAAGAAAAATACAGAAGACATTATGTCCTTGATTTCCATGCCGACTATCAGAGAGAAAGAGAGCAAAAAGGTTGGCGAACAAATCCTGGACCTATTGTCAAAACAGACTTCTAAAGAAAAATCGTTAGCAGAACGATTTCGCTCTCAGGGAGGTGCCCAAGTCATGGAATTTTGTCCACATGGTACCAAAGTAGATTGTATGAAATTGAATGGTGGTCCGGGATTTGCAGAGAAATGCAAAAAGTTACATTTTAAGAAAATAATACAGAGTCATACAGATGAATCTTTGGGGGACTGTAGTTTTCTTAACACCTGTTTCCACATGGATACATGCAAGTAAGGATGTTATTGCCCATATTTTTTATTAAAACTTGTTAATAAAACATTTTAATAAAACATCTTTTTTTTTTACTTCGTACAGATATGTTCACTATGAGGTTGATGGTCCAACGGCTCAACCAAAGGAAATCAACGACTCTGATAGTCCAAGCAATACTGCTTCAAATAAGACACTGAATTTAGATAGCAAAAATGGCAGTAGTAGTAGCAATGCAGGTAGCGAATTGACTCTATATCCACCACAGTGGATTCAGTGTGACTTACGTTATCTTGACATGACCGTTCTTGGCAAATTTGCTGTGATCATGGCCGATCCACCATGGGATATTCATATGGAATTGCCTTACGGCACGATGTCAGATGATGAGATGAGACAATTAGGGATCCCAGCCCTCCAAGACGAAGGACTCTTATTTCTTTGGGTAACTGGCAGAGCTATGGAATTGGGGAGGGAGTGTCTGCAACTGTGGGGTTATGAAAGGGTCGACGAGATTATCTGGGTAAAGACGAATCAGTTACAAAGAATAATACGGACTGGTAGGACAGGCCATTGGCTGAACCATGGCAAGGAGCATTGTCTGGTTGGCATGAAAGGTAATCCTCGTATTAATCGAGGATTGGATAGCGATGTTATTGTCGCTGAGGTCCGTGCTACCAGCCATAAGCCTGATGAAATTTATGGTATTATCGAACGCATGAGTCCCGGCACCAGGAAGATCGAATTATTCGGTCGACCACACAACGTGCAGCCCAATTGGATTACATTAGGTAATCAAGTAGATGGTGTCCATCTGATTGATCCGCAACTTATTAAAGCCTTTAAAAAACGTTATCCCGATGGAAATTCAATGAAGCCTACTAAATCATAAGATTATTCTTATTTATCGAATTAATTCAAAGATTTGAATTTTGAACGGGGAACAGTAGTATAATCAATTTTCAAAATATTTAAAGTTAAAAATCTAAAAAATTTAGAAAATTTATTTAAATCAAATTAAAAAAAAAGATATTTTGTTTTATCTCTTTTGTTTACAAATACTAAGTTTGTTGGTCAAACAACTTTCAAATGTTACATTACGATGTAACATTACGATGTTGATTAATAAAAAATTTTTTAAGTAATCCATCTTATTTTTTTTATATTTTTTAAGAATTTTATAAATTCAGATTTTTTAAACATTTTATGATGTCTATTGATATAAATTAACTATTTTACGCTATTTTACGTTTTGTTGGTTTATTGCAAAAAATGTATATATAAATTCCATGTATTATTTAAATATACGCTAATACAAAATGAATGCATATAACTGTAAATATAAAAGACTGATTTCTCGAATATTTGAGAAATAGATAATAACATTTGTACATATATATTACATTGTTCTTTTAAGTCATGCTATATTTAGCATGTATGTATACACTGACATGTAAGCTAATTTTCTTTAATAAAATTAATTATTGGTGAATATCAATATGAATTAAACTTTTGGAAAACTAAGATTAATTTTTATGATATAAGTCAGTCTATTTAACTCGAGATTATTGTGAATCGTAAATAAAATGTGTTGTTCTGTATTATTTACGTATAAATACAAACATTACAATTAAATCATTTAAATTTATACCACTGTTGTTTTAGAATGTAATACATTATCACTTTGAAATTCTTTAGTTATTAAAAATTTTTAAATGTAAAACAAATCTCGCGAAGTAAGATTGAAACGATTAGAATAATTTTCATTGTAATAACTTAAATTTTTGTACAATTGATTAGAAATATTTCATTCGTATAATACGCCAATAAGATTGCTCTTTATAGAAGAAACAATAGCTTGCAAATGAGCTTTCACTATATATAGCCAATACTGTTGCGTTTTTGCTTGAGCAGACTTTTCCTTATGGAAAAGGAAAATAAATTGTCGTTTATACTGCTCGTTGAAGTTCTCCTGGATATTGAGGCTTTTGTAACGCAATTTTTTGCTTTCGATAACTCTATGTTGTTCAACAAATTTTCCTTGTCGTCAGTGTTAAATGTTTTATCCGGAATGCATACTTCAGAATGTATCTTGTTGAATGAATCAACCCAGTGTCTTCTTTTGTGCCCATCTTCCATTACGAAAGAATATTCTCCGATCTTGAAACAGATTTCTGTAGTATTTTTATCTTCCACTTGCACATACATTTGTTCCTTGGGTATGACGGGAAAAGGTAAATTGTATTTTTTGTTAACACGCCGCGTAGGGCGAGTTATCACGAAACAAGTGTCGAAAAGAAAGCAATAATATTTCTGCAAAGATATTATTCGTGATGAAAAGAAAATCTACAAAGGACCTGTTATAATTGTCCGGAACCGATTTAATTCTCTTTAAAATATGTAAAAATAAAATAAAAATCTAAAAAACACGTATTTATATCAGCTTAATCGGAATTTTAAGAAATGAAACAAAGGCTAACATATATATTTGATTCCCATCAATTATCAACAAAATAGTGAGATATATAAAAAAATTTAGACAAAACTTTTATAGTTTCTTATGTTATTTTATAACTATGTATTTAGATTTGTCAAAATATTCCCATCCTTCATTATTATTTTTGCAAAATTTAAATTTTTTCTAAAAACAATTAAAGAAAATTTTATTTCCAAATTCCATATATAAGAAAATTATTTTACGAAATCGCATTTTTCAGAAATAACCTGAATTTTATATATTCGTCGATAATTGATGGGACTCAAATATATGCGTTAGCCTTTGAGGGATTGTTTCATCCCTTAAAACTCCGATTGGGTCAATATGAAAAAATACATACTCTTAGATTTTTATGTTCAATAACATATTTCAAGGAGAATAAAATCGATTCCAGATCGTTGTGATAGATCTCTTGTTAAATAAAAATTAAAACGTTTTATCTTAAGAAAAATTAAAACAAAACTTACTATTCCTCGTGTGTCCTTAAGCTGACCTTCCGTGATTAATTCTGTGGCGTTGGCAATATGTTTTTCAGGATCATGTTCGACCTTTGCATTTATTTTTGATTGAGCAAGCTTACACTCGGCTTCACCCATAATGCAATTGATGTCCTTTAACAAATCAGATAGTACATCCTTTGCTTCTTTCAAAGGCAAATAATCTGCATCAGTAGCAGGTGTATATTTCAAGATTTCTTTTATTAGTAGCGGATATTTCACGATTCTTGACCGTGGTACATCCAGATAAGTCCATAAATCGACAGAATGTGGTAATTCTAGGCGCTTTTTTAAAAACGACTGGAATCTCTTGTTAGTAAATCTCTTTTCGTCCAATAAATGCCTCGCCCAAATCAATGTTCTGCACCTTTCCAAATATGGTTTCTTCAATGTCGATAGCTATGAAACGAAAACAATGAAATTAACATTGTGCATGACAGATATTCATGTAAAAAATCAAAACTCTAAATAGATAATAAATTTCAACAAAATAATATATCAGCGTCACATGTAAAATATATTTAAGAAAGATAATTAACTAACCCAATTTAATAATGTAGGGCCCACAGTTTTCGTAAATCCGTATCTATCCCGCAGCTTGAATAATTCATCCCTCAAGTTACTGTGTATTTCAATAAGATTTACGAGATCACCAAAAAGTATGGATAATTCCTCAGATGTAAAGATTTCAATGGATAACATTGGTTCATAATAGAAATTTCTCAGCACATACAGCTCATTCAGTAACACATTCTCGCCACAATATAATTCATAGATGGTCTCTTGCCGCTTGATCTCATTTTGACTTAATATACTGTTCAATCGTTCCTCGCCATGTGGTTGTGCGACGTCTGACATCCAACTTTTAATTGCCAAATTGTTACAGCTTTCGATAGTATTATTTAATCTGAAATTAGGAATTTATTCTAAAAGAAAGAAAAAGAAAGAAAGCAAGTCAAGATATTTAAATTTCATATTTAATCAATTACCTTTTTCGTAACGTTCTCGTATCTGTTTCGTCCTCGACGATAGACAGATCCGAGGAGTTCGGCTGGATCGTGAAGGACCTATGTAAAGTATTTCCCAATTTGCTGGTCGCAGCAGAAGTAGAAAATATACTGCTGGCCACCTCCGTGATTCTGCGGCGTTTTTTCTTCTTGCCCATGTCGGACTCCATCGATATGTCCATGGAGCTGACGCTTATCGCATCGCTTTTCAGTCGTTTTCTCGATCTCTGTGACAAAATACCTTACAAGAAGCACTCAGGACGTC